AGGATTGCTGGGTGTGCCAGAAGCGCAGGCACAGAACCTGAAGTTTTGTAGGACCCGCATCCAGACACACCAGTTAAATAATCAGGTAATCTCTCCTGTTAAAACAAAAAATCAAAATGCAAAATCACATCCTTGTCTCAAAGCAGTTTTTAAAAATCTGTTTGTTGCCTTTATTCTTTACCCATTGTTAATTAAAATCTTTCCCCGGGCAGAATCATACTGAGTTATATGAACTAGCAGGGAGGTTAAAGGGACAAGATACCGCTGAATTGTGTGAAATGAGATAAAAGCCCGGAACACCACAAGAAGAAAGAGTACTAATGACTGAGTAATACCTGGGATGGAAACACTGTGACAGCAGCTTTCCCTGCGATCACAGCAGGACTGTATTTTGCATTCTTTTCCACGTTTTTCTCCAAGTAGTTTGAGTTATAACAGGTAGCATTGTTCTACTTGAATCCCTAATGCTACATTAATTATATTTTCTTCCTATTTTCATTACATCTGCAGTATTTTTCCCTTCATTTAGGAGTGACAACATTTTTGGAAGGGAAGTTCTTCAAAGCTTACGCTTTTCATATCAAAGCATGGAAACAATCTTCTCCACCAAGTTCTTCAAAACGATTCCACTGTCTGGGACTACTGGATTGATTCCCAGAACACCATCATATAGCTCAAAAAAAAAAACAAAAAAACAAACAAAAAAAAAAACAAAAAAACAAAAAAAAAACACAAAGCAAAAAACCAAACAGACAAAAAATCCCACAACAAAACATAATGAAAAACCAATGAAACAAACAAAAAAATAAGACTCAAGTCCAAACAAATGTCCTAGCACCTCCTTTCTCACATGGACACACATTTTCAACAGGATGTAAAATCCATTGCATTTCACTTGATTGAAAAGAAACACACACAAATACCAGACAGAAATGCTGGGCAAGCCAGTGTAGGGGTTAATCCCATTTCTTCAAAAGTTTAGGGCCCAGTTGTGCTCAACTCTTTAATCAAATTTCAGTGAGGCAACTTCTGATGCCTGATATTATCTGGTCAAGTTCTCTGACACAGTCCTTCACCAAGCAGTGAAGGTTTTGACATGTCTTCACAGCCATCCTTCCCTACCATCGGGTACTGAATGCTGGGCCATAGAAGGTATTTGACCTCCATGGGTTAATGTTCAAAAGGTTCACAGGAGACATTTATCAAAGGAAACCACACAGAGAAAGTTTTTGGATAGAGGGACAGACACTTCCCCAAGGCAATCTTAAGCAGGGTCTTGCAGTGTCAGACTCCTCTTGTGCAGAACCATTACAGCAAGAATTTCATATTTTTCCTACAGCTCACCAAAGAGGAGTGGGCAATTTCTACAAGGTCGCATTTAAAACGCATCTGCTTGATGCTAATTCCAGGTCTACAGCTACATTTTGAGAAATACCAACTATAGCACTCTTTAACATGGATGCTAAGAAAAACTGAGAAATATTTTGTTCAAAACATATTTCAAATATGGAAAGTCATGACAAGAACATCTCTTTCTGCACGTTGGCTAGCTGATCTCCACTCTGTCTGGGATAAATAATAGCTATGTGTAATAACGGAAAGAGGAGCTCCAGTAGCTGGCTCAAGTTCACCAGTTCCACAACCGCAACCACGTAACCCTCTTAAAACATTTCTCTTCAGTGTTTCAGCAGATAATTTCTGAGGAGAAAAAAATGAGCACAGGTCTCCTGCTGTTTGATTAAAATCATTATAATTTAAGAAGTCAAGACCCAAACAGCTGCAGATGAGTCCAAAGGCCACCACTATAATAACAGGCCTGTGCTTTGAGGAGGCAACAGTGGACAGCAGAACGGTATGAACCAGCTGGAAATCACATACCCTTTTAGAAGGGGAACTGGAGTAGGGGCTGGGAAAAGAAAGATGCCGCAAACCCAGGCTAGATCCTAGCAATCCACAAAACATTCAAGGCAGCAAGGACAGGCAGTGAAGACAGCTTCCACTCTCACGTGCCCTGCATCTGAGGCTGAATCCACAGCTATGCAAGTATCCAGGTTAACATAGGGCAAACTTAAGGCTGTCTATCTCAAAAGCAAAATAATGGACCAAAACAGGGAACAGACTCATTAGCACTAAGGGAACCATGCCAGGGTCAGCGTGCGTGCATACGTGTGTGTATAGAGAGAGACCTGAACAGATCAGCCGCTCTATCACTGCAAGACTGTCTTCCCCTGGGTTCAGTCCCTCACACCAGAGTGGGACATCACCTTTCCCAGAGAGCAGGGCAAAGGAATTACACTGCAAAGCAGGCCTTGGTCAATGCGTCAAACACCTGGCCACACAGCAGAACACGCAATCTATTACCCCTTGAGGGACCTTCAGCAAGTCAATGTATCTTTTTGTACCTACACCCTATTTGCAAAACCAGAAATGGTGCAAAGGCTGCTGGGAGGCTCCATTCATTAAAGGCTTGGAAAGTATTTTAAGAAATTCAAACCAAGGATACTATATGGCTCAACAGAGTGGCAAATACATGCAGTGTCACTAACTTTACTTTCAATAACCACGTCATTCTGAAAGAGAGAAAAAAAGTCTCATTCAACAGAAACATATGAGAGAGAGGAAGATGCCTGCAGTTATAAAATCCATAATTCTGGAAAAGACATCCAAAAAATTTGTTTCCTGCCGCACTCTTTGACACCTTTCTCTTGTCTCCTTCTGATCCATCTCTCCCCACCACTAGAAAGAACTCCTATGAACTGTGGTATAGCAGGTCTTTAAGTAAGAAAAGAGTAAGCTCAAAAAATTTGCTTTTCTATCCCATAGATTATACTTCATGTGATAAACAGCTGTTAAACTGAACTATATTGAGTAACAAGGTACTAACCAACATACAAAATCATATCACATCTATGCTGGTACATGTAATTTTTAGCTGAAATGAGCAAAGAAACCATGCATTTACAGAGCAAATTAACTTAAAAAATAAAAATCAAATTAACAATGCCATCACAAATCTCTCATACAGCCCTGCCCTTTTAAGTGTTTCATGAAGAAGCCTCACATCCATAGAGGCAGAAGGGACACGTTTACTGTACACCCCAGTGTTAAAAGTTCAGTATCAAGGCACAGACAGATGTCCTTTTTGGCTCTGACAAAGAATTGCAGAACTGCTGAAAAGTGCCTTTGAACAAGACAGGGGTGAAGATGCAGTACAGATTGTCTGTGCAGCACGTACAGTCAGCAGAGACCAGTTTCTAGAGAACATTATGCTTGAAGGTAACTTTGAAAGAATGTCAAAGAATTCAATCTCAGCAACATTCATAAATTCATCAGACTGACTCAGAAGTGCCCAAAACATGGAAGATAACATTACCTCAACTAGGGAGTAAAAAGCCATATGTGTATCACCAGTACGAGTCAAGTCCTAGTACCTGTGCTTGTCATATTATTGTCTATATATCACAACATCTAAAAAATACACACCAACAGGTAGAAAAGATCTTCATTAATTAACTTATCAGACAGACAGGCTTTTGCTGAGCATCACCTCCTGCAGTCTTAAGAACACTCAGTTTGAGTAGTGCAGGTTTTTTATTCTTGGAATACGCCCCACTAGAGAAAGAGTATTCTGACAACCAAAAAAAAAAAATTAAGAAAGGAATACATGTACAAGACTTTACCCAGTGGAAAGAGAGAAAAAAATGTTCTTGTTTTTAACAAGTATGAATTTTGTCAAGGCTAGAAGTCAGGACATCGAGGGAAGGACTGAAGAAGTGACTTTGAGGTAAGAGCAAAGGACTGTGAATCAGCAGAAACAAGGTCTACCACTTCCACCATGATATGTACTTGCTATTTTTCCAGGCACAAATCACTGACCTTTCCTACTTCAGTAAATCTTGTTTACCTGCTTCATAAACCATTGTGAATTTTATACAGTAAGAGAAGAAACTCAGAATCTCAGATAAAAAGCACTAAACAGCCAATAAATTGCTTTGTTCAAGGATTTCCTTCCCTTATCCAGTTAAAAGCTTCTTAAGAAATAATGTCATATGGAAACATTTCTTACACATAAGCATTTCTCATGAATGAATCATGGGTTTTCTCTACACTGTTCTCTCCAGAGCGCTAAGCATGCTCATACAGTAAACCTTCTCTTTCTTCCCAACATCTGCTGGCTGTCAGCCTTTCAATATTCTGTGAACTATTGCAAACTTTGTAAAAAAACTTATTTCTTTTAAGCATTTTGAGTCTTCCTGGTGCTTCAAAACCAAAAGGCCATTTGATTTACCCACAATTTGCTAAGACACTGTGGGAAAGCAGGAATCTGCGGAAGCAATAGAAGGAAAACTAAGGGGAGGCCAGGCTCGCTTTGCAACTTGCACAATGGGAGAGTAAGACACATCCTTACATATAAATACATATTTAGAAATAAAAGCAGCAGCCATCTCCAAAGTGCCTGGGAACTGAACAGCACAAACTGCAACATCTTTGTCCGCATATTAACAACCAAGAATACTTTGTACGCAACCCATACGTTCAACAGCATACTACCACGTAGGAGAAGGTTTGGATTATTTATAGCTAACACATAGTTGCATGACAGACCTCTGGTGACCCAAATCCTTTACCAGCGCTGTTCCATACTCTGTGCCTTGCACCACAGATCTTACATAGCTGCATGATTTAGTTAGCAATCCAGCTGAGGTTTTCACATGTAAACTGGACAATAACATAACAAACTGACAGCCCACAAAGGCTAGATACTAGTTTTGGCAAAAAAAAATTTTTTTGAAAGGTGCTTATTCTATTTTGAAGTAAAAAACGGAATTAAAACTGTGTGTAAATGTTTTGGATGTCTTCCTATTGCTCTACTTTAGTGTATGCTTATATTCTGTTTTCAGGGGCTTTTAAAAAACAAAATATACAAAAAGAATAAAAGTTGCCAGAATGATTGAGTAAAGGAGAAAGCATGGTAGTTTTCAAATGGTTATGATTACTGCCAACTGTGGCCACCCAAAATACTTGCAAAGATTCTAAAACAAACCCAACAAAACCCCTTTAAGATAGCTAGTTAGTGATTTGATTTTTCTGTTAGACACAAACTCTCTTAATTTAACATTAGCATGCTAAACTGGTATCTGGTTTGTGCTTGAAGAAAGTAATAGAGACATAATTAGTGGGCTGTCAGGTAGCTCTAATCAAGGTCTCAGTGGTTGCAAGCCCTGGAGCTACTGATCTCGAAAGCCTCATGCAGACCATGTCCAAATCCTGCAATTGTTCAATGAACAACTTCATGGTCAGCACCTGTGGGATGCTGAAACTGACTGGACTGCTATTAACCACAGCTACAATGAGAGACTATCAGTGCCATACAAACAAAAAATGGAGTTCAGCAACCCCCGCCCTCCTTCCCCCCATACCCTCACAAATTGCATCATACCTGACATTCCACATTGCAGTAAAAGGCCTGCTTACATCTTCCACACTTGGACAAGCCTTCTTTCCTTAAAAAGAAAACAGAAAGTATTCTATTCTATAAATCTGAATGAAATATGAATGTATCACTTTTTGCACAATATCTTGCACTGAAATATTGCAATATCATACAATGAAAACTATTTTCTTCAGAACACTACAACTGCAGCTTGAAACCCATCTTCCAACAGCAGACATTATTTTTATTTGTTTAGAGTTTCAAAAGCAAGTTTTTCCTAACAACTGTTATTATGCAAAAGCACTCTGCTGTCCTGATAAACTGCTGGGTTTGGAAACATGTTAATCTACGCTGTTTGACAGGCAGCATCATTTTTTGCCACTATATGATGCATATTGATAGCTAACTTTTCCTTGTTTTCCAAACTGCCCAAGTGCTCTCTATACTTGCTCACCAATATTAACCCTTTGCTTCTGCTCTGCCAGTTCTATTGCTTCTCTGATTAGAGAAACTATGATCGTTGTTCCGTGAGTAACCACCTCCCAACACCAAGAAAACATGCTGCATTATTAAATACAGTTTCATTTCCTGTCATTACATAGCCTCTTACTGTCCTCCTAATGTCTGCTCTGATATCCGTGTATTCTAAGTGACCTAAGGCTCGCACTCTCCTTTTTTTACATTTGTATATATCCCAACACAGGGAACTGCCAAAAGGAAGGTCCTTTTCTGCTTCAAGGTGCATGTGTTGCAGCAGATCCCATCAAAAATAGAGCATGTGTTACCCAACACGTGACATTTTGGTGTGACAGCAATAGGGATCTCTCAGCAGTACTGAATACTTCAAAATGTCTACACACCCTCCTAGTAAGCAGCAAAAATTTGTCTCAACCCTAGGCAAGTTCATCAGAGTAAAACAGGGGTGACTGTCCTCACGCAATATGACATGTTCGGGGCCGCTCGCATTTGGAGTCCGTAAAGTGCAGCAAGTCTTGACATCCTCCAATCGTTCTTGCAAAGTAGAAGATGCAACGTGAGTGAGTCAGGCTAACATCATGACTCTGCTTGCTGACAGGATGTACCTCCAGCACAGCTGTGTATTTAAAGTAACAAATACTATCAGATGCAAATATAACGTTGTGGTCTTACTCTGCTCATTTTACTACAACTGTTTTATGACCACTTAGCAAAATTTCTCTTCCCAAGACTAGTGCTGGGCCCACAAGCTTCCTCCTAACCCTTTTTCCAAGTTCAACAAGCAGTTCAGAATCTAGTAGGTGCTTGTTCAGTGCTAATGCAACGGGGCACAGACACAAAACACATTTCTGAGAGCTGGCAGACCAAGTTACATCACCAAGATATCTTTCCTCTTAGTGGAACCCCATCACCCTGGTGTGAAATAGGTGTCAGAATACCCACTGTAACTGCTATGGTATGACATTCAGTATATTCCTCGATCATTATGCTCCTCCATTGCTCCATGGGAGAAGCTTACATGGAGAACAAGCAGCATTTAAATAGGCTGCTCCTGGAGATGATCTTTAAAAGCTATTCCAGGAGATAACTATTATCTCTACAATATTACTTCGTATCAATGGAGCACAGAAAGTATTCCTTGGTCCTTTTACAGAGAGAAAACTTCCGAATGTGATCAACAAAACCAGCCAGTTTCTTTGGCAAAAGGGAATTTGTGGTTTAGACACAAGAGGAAAAAAAAAAAATTAAGGGCTAGGAAAAGTCACCAGTGTGAAGAAGGAGAGGAAAACCACCTCAGTTCTACAGTTCTTCAAATTAATGGGACTCACTTCAAGAGGACTTCATTAGGATCTATATTAGACGCTAACATGCAAAAAGTAGGGTGAATAAAACGAATAAGTCATGTAGGTAGATAATGTAACGAGGAAAGAAAAAGGACAAAGTCAAGAGAAAAAAATGAAAAGCTGAAGTGAGTTAAGATGATAGGACAAGAGATGAAAAGACCTACTGGAGTGTAGTAATTATATTCTTCACTCTGCCTCAGTCTACATATGCAAGCAATACTTACATACTGGTAAAAACAGTGAAAGTACAACAGATGTTTTCTTCTACTGAGGCAAACACTAACATTTGCCCCAAGTTATAACCAGCTAAGCACCGCAACTCTTCAGTAAGCTGCCAGAAGTCAGGGAAGTACTATACCTTTTCAAAACATGGTGTGACATGCCACAGTGTCACGTCCACGCCTGATTTTCTAATGACAACCCAAAACTGCCTTTTTTTTTTTTTTTGCCACAGTTGAGGAGGGCAGCTGCTGAGCCCCCAGAAAACCCCAGCACCCCGCAGCCTGCCAGAGCCGGGAGCCACGAAGCGTGCAGCAGCAGGCGTGCCGTCGAGTTTAAACGCTCACAGCCACACCGTGACCAACCGCTCAGGTTGCCTGAGCTTTGCCCCAGCACAAGTAATTTGCCAGAACACTGTTTTGGGACAGAGACGCTGAAATATACAGATATGTGTGTATCTGTAAGGAAACATACAGATGTGCCATTCATACATATTCCACTCACACCGTGGAAACGCGAAGCGTGACTGAGGCAGCTGCAGACCCTTTCTCCCTGGTCAGAACTTCCCTAGAATCAGTGACTATTGCGCTACCACAGAACTGGCAGGGCTGGATCCACCTCCCCACGACAGCAAGGCCACACACACCCCTATGGAACTGCAAGCGCACGGGAGGAGCAAAACTTCTTTTCTCTTTTTCCCCCGAACTGTTAAGCAAGGAAAACCAGTTTTGAGCAAAAAAGTTTCATCACGAAGCTATCGCCAGAGAACCACGAG